GGCCGTTTTTCACGTGAAATGGACATGGATTGAAGCTAGATTTCACAAGGAATGGTTGTTTCTGCTGTGCATACAGCAAATTTGGCAGGTAAAGGAGAATACTAGTGGCTTCATTTTTCTTTCTTTTCTGGACTTGAGCCCATCTATCTCCAGTTATGTGCTACCAAGGTGCAGGCTCCCAACCATGAGTTTGTCCTTCCAGCCCAGGTTCGAAATCTCATTTGAAAGCAAGGTGCAGAGCGTTGCCTCCAATTTGAAGCAATCAAACAAACAAAAAACACGCAACTCCCGGAAAGTGCTCTCCAATCCATTGAGAGTACTTGATTCCATCAAATAATAAACCAGAATTCCTGAACATACTGACCCTCAGTTTGGGTTCAGTTTGACGACATGGAAGAGGCTTCATGTCGTAGTTGGCCATTCCTTCGAGGACGTCCTTTCCCCAAAATTTGACCACCACCAAATAATGAGCCAATGGAGAGGTGCACATCTTAGCACAGAAGTTGCCTTTGATGAATATTAATTGGAGCTATTATGGGTTACCGTAGTGATTCCTTGGAGAGAATGTAACATCCTTAAACAAAATACCGGCAGGCCCACGTTTCAGTTTCATAGTCACTTTCACTAAACCTTGGTTCCCAATGGTAGGAGAAGAGCCTATACCAATAAATAAATCGGGGCAACCGGACATTGATTTACTAAATGTCAAGAAAGACCATGACTGTTGTCGCGTTAAAGGACGTTGCCCCTTCTACAATGTCCGGTATCTCGTTTCCATTTTGTGACATTATAACCCTCGTTCCCTCGTTTTCATTTAGAAAACTAATGTTTCCTTTCTCAAAGTTTCCTTTTTCTGAAAATCCAAAAGTACCTAGTATCAATCTTTCCAAATTTGATGATCCCTTTTTAAATCTTCCAAATCATCTGTGTCCCTTACTCTACGAGAGTAAAGTAATCCTTGGATTCCAGTAAATCTTCCGCTTTAAAAAGCCCATTTTCAACTTTAAAAGCTTCAAAATTAGCTCAATTATTGTAAATTCGAAAATTCAATTCACCGCATCCTTAGCTGGCTCGAAGTCCAAACCATAGCGAAAGTGACCGGAGAAAGTACCACTGTGTTGTTGCTCCTACATGTACAAGAAGTAGGACTGTAAAGACTGCCCCAATGGCCCAATGGAGCTGCTTTCCGCCGCGATGATGATTGTATGCTGCAACGATGCTTGTCCACGATATCGCTTTATCTACCGACACTGTTCGCCGGTACCGTGGTACATTCATAGTTACAGAAAGCTCTGGTTTGGGCTGGGCGTCTGTGCAGGCTGGACGAGTCGTCGCTTTTGGATGTTGCGGGTCTCTACCAGTACCGTACCGGTACACATGTATCAGATAGATGATGTATGCTGTGATGAGAACAAATTGGTGGCACCCCAGCCGAGTTGTAGCAGCTAGCTAGGATTCCAACACGAAGCCGTTGCTTTTGGATGTTGCGGCTCTCTTTGATCCGTGATGTGACGAGAACGAATGAATTGATTGGTGGCAGCCCAGTCCGAAACAATAACAAAAAGACGTGGCCCCCCACCGTAGTACTAACCTGCCCCGACGATGCTCAACTTGGCTGAGCAGACGGGAGGCGGTGCTGTCATCGTGGTATGGTCGTTCCTGACAATGCGCTAAATTTGTAGCATTGTCAACAATATGCTTGTTCCTTGACATAGGTGTGCTTTTGGCAGATTGAAATCGGTGGAATTCGAGAATGGTACCCTCTTCGTTGAGGCCATCCAACGAGCGCCCGTGCCGGTGCCACTGGTAGTTCCTTGGCTGTGATTCCGGTATCCTTCTGCATTGCTTAGTTTCATCACATTATCGCATTGGCTGTTACCTGTTAGCAGTAGCTGGAGCTACAAAACGGAGTACAGTTGCAGTCAGCTAGTAGGAAACGCCGTGCTTCCGAAAGTTTTTAAAGCCTGAAAGCCATCAACAAGCCACTGCCATAATCTTCTAACCACACTACATGTATGTGTAGCAGCCGATTCTTCGAAAAATCTTCCGCAAATAAGAAGACATCAGCAGCCATGGCGCCAACCACCGCTACTACCGTACAGTAGCCAGCTCCGGAAGTGCCGCCACTAGCCGATTGCAAGTTGGGAATGATAGGAAGAATCCTTTTGCAAAACAAATTTTCGACGGCTCCCACGATGGCCAAATGATGGGATTGAGGGGAACTCCCCACCAGGCATGCATGTAGTTCTCAAGGTGGACCGAAAAAAGAATCAAGCAGTTTGGAGATTGGTGACAGAACCTGAGGAGTACAGAGATAATCAGGGTAGACTGGATCGGTTCCAAAGTTATCTGGAGGCAGCCAAAGGACAAGCAAGAAGGCCTGTACTAGAAGAAGTTAAGTTGGGTATTTACAACCCTGGTTTCACTGTTAATGTTGTCCCACCACATTTGGAGACCATTTTTCCATTGAACATTAGATATTATTTGCTGCTGCTTTATAGCTAGCTAGTGCAAATAGCTGCGTAGCTGAACTGGCTAGCTAGATAGCGAGTCAAACGTAATCATCTTGGGTTTCCTTGTTCTGGAACGGGAGAGGGGTTGGATATGAGGACTCGACCCGGACAAACTTGTCGCTTGGATAAAACTGGCTGTCAAAGCAGCTTGTGCTGGTGAGACACAATGAGCTGAATTTGAGTACCGCTCAGAGCATTTTCAAGACTGACGGTCACAAACAAATCAATGAACTGGTACAAGTACAAGCAGTACTGAGTACTGGTACCGGTAGCTGTACATGTACCGGTGTACCGGTAGTTATCGATAGCGATACCGGTGGTGAAGAGACTTAGCTTCCTTGTGAACTGTGAACCATCAATAATAAAAACTGGCACAAGACATTTAAACATCTCAAGGAACACCATTTCAGTACTTTACAGTACTGTGAGGAGGCCACGTGATAGAAACAGCGCCCACAGCCTGCAAACGGCCACCATCGCTCTGTGGCTGCACGGCTACACCAATGCAACAATAATTTCCGCTCGAGAAAGAGGAACGTTGTGCCTGTCCTTACTACAAAGGAGAAGGGCTCACTCACTCTGCTGGTGGAGAAGCTGCCACCAATCAATCAACACCATCATGATGTCACCTACTAGCAACGAAGACCATGTGGACGAAGAGGACGAAGAGGACGAAGAGGCCATGAGCATCATCAGCGATGCCGCCGTGGCAGTCCCAAAGCGACAGAGGCTCCCCGTTACCCGCAAGTTGTCGTTTGGTTCCCAGGCATCCAGAGCCGCCGCTGCTGCCTTGGCGTCGGTAGATGACAACGACGACGATGTCGAGGCGTTGCTGCCCAAAGAACCCAAACAAAAAGCTCGTCGTGTCGCATCGGGTGGCGCTGCAGTGGCTCACGTTCCTCGACGCAATATCGTTCGAGGCACCAAGACGTTGGACGAAACCGAGGCCGAACAAGCTGCCTTGCAACAACGGACTCCCTATTCCGAACGTCCGTCGGAGAAGAAGAAGAAGAAGAAGAAACCGCAGGCCGAGGAAGAGAGTCTTGTGAAGAATCAAGCCCAAGTGGAAACAAACGATAGTTCAGACGACGGTAGTGATTCCAACAGTGTTGGTAGTGATGTGGCTGTTACAGCACCATCCAAAAAGAAAAGGTTACCAACGGGCGAAGTGATTCCCAGCAAGCCAAGAGATGTCGAACAAGGATTTCGCCGCCAAGTCAGCAAGAAAGAGTCGTTTGATTCGGCTGGTAGTGCTGATGGATTGCTCTTCCATAATAAAAAAGACCAACAAGCACAAGGGCCACCGCTGATGAACCCCAAGAAACTGTCCAGTTTCGACAGCGTCAGTCGTCATACGGAAACTACTCGCACTCTTCGGTCTTCCTTTGGAGAATCGGACAGCGACGATGTCAGGTCCTTCCGGTCGGGATATTCCAGGAAAACCACCACCACCAATCGCTCCCACAAAACACTGGCCGAAATTCGACGCGAAAAGGCAGCTCTCGATATGTCTAATCATTCCAACGAAGTCCCCAAAACTGGTTGTCTCGGATTGTCCCGTAATACCTGGTTGATCATTATCGTCACGACAATTGTTGGATTTTCCGCTGGTTTTATGTTTCCCATTTGGCAAAAACAAAAAGACGTGGCGCATCAAGACGAATCAGTCGCCGACACCGAAACCAACGTACCCGCGACGTTGAAACCATTTGATCCCTCCATTCTCTACTGGGGTGGAAGTGACGAACAAGACGAAGAAAATTATGGTAATTACAGTTACCCGTCCCCCATGGACTACCCAACCGCGGAACCCGAAGAGATCATTCCCATTCCATCGATTGATGTGCTTCATTTGTTTGCCAACCAATCCATCCCGTTGCCGTCGCTCGAGAGTGCGCAGCACATGGTTACATTTGACCAAGAGCATCTCGTTCGCACAGCCCAACTCTTTGTGCAAGGAATGATTCACAAAAATGTCAAAAAACCCATGTTGCGAGTCGAAAAGATTCTTCAACCCGAAAAAGACGAAGGAGAAGATTACGTCGTGCCGCACGGTGACACTCCATTGCTCGCGTTTGATGGTGAAGTGCCTTATCCTACGACTCCTCGCGGCGACTCGAATGACAAGTATCCGCAAGGTGATGTCCAGGAGTGGGAAGGGCGTCTCAAACACTACGGAATCCACGAGTCGGATGACACCACCCAACTGGATGTCACCAATGGAATCTTGTACGTGGCACGAGGAAATCACATTACGGTGGTCGATACCGATGTGGGAACCGTCCGTGCCACCATCTCCTTGCCATCGTCTCCCTCGAACAAGAAAGGAGGAGCGCAATTATTGCGAGACGAGTGGTTGATCCCCGCCGAATCGGACGAAAACCCTCGTTGGAAACCGGCGCCGCCCTCACCGTTTATTGAAAAACTGTTGCTAACATCCTCTTTGGATCATTTGGTGGTCATGGTATCCAACTACACGTCAATTCATCAAGCGCGAGTCAAACCTCTCTTGCAAGAATCTCTCGTGACCCAAGTCTTCACGTATGAATTGGTGCACAGAGGAAATGTGACCGAGTGGACGTTGGTCGACGAGGAGCCCCATGTTGTTCATGGAAGAGTCCTCTATGCCGCCCAAGTAAATTTGAATCAGCACATTCACATCGTCACGTCTTCGGCTGTTGATACTTCTCGGCTGCTGGAAGAGCCACTCGAACGAATGTATTACCCCAATCGCAATGACAAGGTGTACGTCGACGAAGCCGTGGCTGCTGCCAATGACAAGTACATTCCACTCTTTGTGGAGCGCTTGCAAAAAGAACTTGTTGGCATGAATGGACCTGTCCATTTCTCCTTGACACCCATGGCCCATTGGGTGACGGGAAGGGCCGAGTCGGAAGAAGAGCAGCAATTGGAGGAGACCATCATGGCTCAGCATCACTTACAAGAGGTGATTGTGATTACATCACTTAGCATAGTTCAATCCAACAGTGGTGCGGCTTCCGCTATCATGCGTTCGGCTTCCATTCGTCAAGAAAAAGCTGCCGGGTCAACTGCTCAGAAATCGACCTCCGTGGTGCAAACTGCCTTCTTGGGACCTTCGGGAGTGGATGTCGTTGGTTCCACAGACACGCACTTGACACTCACGGTACCTGGCTTCAAGTGGACCGGTGACAGGGTGTTCCAGGAAGCAACGCACATGCTTCAATGGGAACTTGGAACCATTAGTCGACCTGGATCAAGCCAACTTGCAGGCACCCGTTTCCAGGGTCTTGGAACGGTGCTGGGGCGCTTGGTCCAGTCGGCACGCCAATCTTGCGAACGACGTGGCACAGAACTGCGAATGGCCACCGTCCTTGCATCACAATGGCAAGTTGGAGTCAACGGCAAAAACGAGACAATTGTGGAAGAGCGCTCGGTACGCAAATCCTACCTTCATGTCATGGACGCGCAGACGTTGAGGGCTCGATCGGGATCACCACTGGAGCTGTTTGCCGGAGAATCCACTTTGTTGCGTGCGGTGACCTACTTGGAAGATGTCGCATACGCATTCCCATTGGAGCCCGTTTCTTCCAGAGATGTCGACAAGACATCTGTTCAAGTGATCGAGTTTGATCGTTCACCAGATCTCATGTACGGGGTATCGGTTGTAGCATCGATGAGGCCTGCTCCCCGTGGCTTTTCTCCACATTTGCATGAACTTCCAATTGCCGATAGCGATCAAAAGTATTTGGTGTCTATCGCAGAGAACATTACTGAGCACGGCTTGAGCATGGGGTGGATGGTTTCTTTATGGGATGCCACGGACGCTTCGAAACTGGTTCTGATCAACCACCAGTCTCTGCAAGCTCCAACCACACTGACAGACTGGAAACCGCAAACCTTTCGCTTGACCCCCAGCGGCCAGCTAGTACTGCCCATGACTGTCGAGTACATTGGAGGCGCTGCTTCAGCCGAAACGAGGCCAACAGACATGACTGGTTTTGTGGTTCTGAACGTATCCGCATCGGAGATCGAGGAGCACGCACGAGTTGTGCATGTCGATGCGGTTTCGAGCATTAGCGAATGCACAGCGAGAGATGGAGAATGCCCACTGGATGCGAGGAGTTTCTGGCTAAGCCCCTCGATTCTGACGGTGGGAGGAAGCTCCGTGCAGCTGACCGGAATCGACACCGATGGCCAGTCTGGTGTGACTGAATGGTCGCTTGGGCTTTCGTCCTTCCACAACAAGATGTAGTGGAGGAGATGCCACGACATATTGGCCTGTTAAGCGATGACAAAATGTGGTGGCTACCACCCAGTCTTACTTCATATTTTGTTGGATACTTAGTTATAATTGAATCTTAGTTTTATTTCTCAAACCTGGTACATCATAGACCACGGCAGTTTTCCTCGGCTTGGTGGCGCCTGGACGCCGAGGGTGCCACACACATTGCTGCTACTAGCTAGGCAAGCATAGAGTATTGGTGTTTCACGGAATCAGCCCTGGGCCTGCTGGGAAGCCGGATGTTCCAAGTCCAAAGCCGCAGAAATATCATTGTTGGGGCCAAGGTGATCCTTGCCATCCTCATCTTGGATCTTGCCGCAGTGGCCTTTGAAGGAGGCGCACTTGGTGGAAGGACAAATGTACCAAACAATGGCAATTGACAGAGTTGCGAAACTTGGATAAAGGTGGCCTTTGAGGCCCAGAAGGTAGTCAGCGACAGTCCATGACAAGCCAAATCCAAACAACGAGCCGATCGTGTAGTATTTCTGGATGATGTCGATGATTTGGGCCATGAGTTCTTCCTTGGCTTCAAGAGTTGTGTTGTGTTCAATGTCGCTGTGTGTTGAGTAAAATGCTGTGATCAAGATGCTTCTCATCAAAAGAAGTACGGTCACGCCCATCATGCTGGAAACTACTGACCAAACCAATGCCACAGTGTAACAGACTCGGTCAGAAAGAGCGGTGTCTTCAAACCCGACAAAAACAGTTAGCAGATAGGACAACGCTAAAGTGGAGCCTTGGATGAAGATTCCGATGCAAATTCCAAGGAGGCTGCTTGCTACTCTGGCGGTATGGATTGCTTCATCCGGAACCATTTCTTGTGTGAATTCACCCTTGTCTCCTTGGTCGAAAAGGTCAGTTTGTTCTTCGTTGAGGAGCTTTTGCGTCAACGTGGCTTCCATTTTGTTGAATTGAGTAGAGTAAGAGTAAGTTGCTGTGGAACTTATGCCTTTCCAAATTTATGGATTCGAGCCAACTTCCAAAATTATGGATTCGAGCCAACCAAAGTCAAGCAGGACAATTCTGGTCAGGATCCAATACATCTCAGTGCTAGTCGTCATATCTGCCATTGCCAGACTTGACCGTTGGGTGATATTGAAGTCGAAACCTTTGAAACCCGCAAGATTGTGGAGGGTTGGCGGGGGAGTCAGGATCAATTGTCATTCGCACACGTTCCTTCATGGAAACCCGTATGAACCTTGGAGGATTGAAGGTCCTCTTACAGAATTGAAATATTGGTGTCGCAGTCATTGGCCTACCAGCTAAGGAAACGGAGCAACAGTGCCGATCAGCTTTGAAAGATCCCTTCAAATTCTTTTGCAGCCCCACAAGCTTGCTTTTGCACCGTAGAAAGCTCACTTCATCACTGAGTGATTCAATCAGCTTGGTGCTCACAATCCTCGTCCTGACCTGAAATGACACCCAAAAGTAACTTGTCGAAGGCGAAGGCTGGCCACGAATGCCTCGCTGCTCATCGCATCGGGAATACGCGATCTTGTGCCGTCTTGCTGGGGTTGGTTGTTGGAGGACTGTTCGAAGGGGCTAATGTCGGTGGAAACTGGCTCATTTACGTGGCATGGTCACGGACCACACAACTAGCACTAGATCCTCAAGGCCTTTCTGAGCACTATTACTCGATACTCTTTTCAATCTCTGCTTGGACTGCGGCGAGTGCTGTGATGGTAATCTCGATTGCGTGCTTGCTCCGCACCATGATGACGTCCACTGCATTCTTGGGCATGAACAACAGCCATGACACGGCACGTCGAATTCTGAACGAGCACGTCTCCTCAATGGATCAATTTTTCGCCATTGGCGTTGCGATGGGTTTTGGGCTGTGGTGGTGCCTAGCCGACCTCCTCATTGTTTGTACTCGCGGTGTTTATCAAAGTTGTTCCATCATAGCTGGGGCCCTCGTGTGTTACGCGATTGCAGTTCGAGAGTCAAAGCAACTACTAGAGACCGAAGCAGAGTTTGATCTGGACGAAGATAAGGAGCACAACGAGGAGACATTGCTGCTGCTTTGAGATTCGCTAGCCATAGCTTATGATTGAGAATGTCCGGCACCTACAAGCACGAAGGAACGTACCGCAAGACGACCCGGATCGATCATGCGACTATTATATATGCAGGTGTGGGCTCTGAACACGAAATAAAGTATGCATAGGAACGTTGTCTTGCTGTCGGTTTGGGTCGTACTGGTTATCTTTTACCATTTAGTAGCAATATGCATACATCATTTGTAAGCATACCGGCAGCTGTAGTGCGGAAGGGTGAGCCCGAGGGGATTCCCGACAAGCCGGATACGCGTCGTGGGTTCCTCATGGTGAATCGAATCCTTCATACCAGATCCTCATCTTTGACATCCCTCTCATCATGGTCGTGGACTAGTGACTAATTTGGTATGCTCTACCAAGCCAAACGGAGAAAGCTGCGCGCTCTGATTAATCATCATTGCCTCCAACCTATCAACCTCCGCGGTACAGTCGTACCTACCGGTACATCGTGAGCAAAGGAACAACAGTCGGATTGTTGTGCTTTGGTACTCCATTGTCGTAGAGTTCTACGCAAACCGGACCTACCGGTACCGGTATCCGGGTCCTCAAAGGTCATCAGCCACGAATGAAACGGCTAACGGCGTGAATTCGCACCTCAAACTCCCTCCACACCAAAATTTCCTTTGCAACGCAGCTCAAACAACAGCCTGAGAGCCACTTCGTCTCTCACAACTTTGGATGCCAGACACACAATCGACTTCAGAAAATTCTCTCACTTCTCTCTCGAGCCATAAAATTGACACAAATCAATCAATCAATCAATCAATCAATTATGACTTCCTACAGACTCATCGGTGGAAAACAGGCGATTGCCAACGACGGCGAAGATGTCGAACAAATCAAAGAAATGATGAAGGACGGCTGCCTCCAAATGTCAAGATGCTGCTCCCTTATCATCGGATTCATCATCGGATGCTTCATCCAGTGCTCTACTTTGGGTGCCAACTTCATGATGACCACTCTCTACGGAAAGGAGGTCTACTTCACTGAAACTTTCATCGTCATTTCGCTTGCTTGGTGCTTTGTCACCTCCATCATGGGAGTCGCCGTCTTGCTCTTCCTTCGCAGCTTGGTCGTCACGGCCTTTTACGCCACCAACACCTCCAGGCAGGACGAAGCCGTCCTCGAGGCCAAGGAAAACTACATGGTCCAAGTCATTGAGAACATCGAACAGTTCTTTGCCGTTGGATCCTTGGTGGGTGTCGGATCGGCCTGGACTGTCACTGACATCCTCCTTGGCATGCAGAGCCATGTATACCACAGCCTTTTGACTGTGTGCATTGCCCTCATCTGGTGCAAATGCGCCATGAAGCATTCCAAGACCATTGCGAAAGATGAGAAAGCTTCCATCGATAACAATGATTTGAGCACTCCATTGGTCGGAAAAGAAGTCGTCATTCAAGTTGTGTAAATGGAAACTGCGGGATCATCAAAAACGTTTTGGCAATCTGAGCTCGTTGCTCAGCAGTCTGCAGGTTACTTCGTCGTCTCTCTTCATTCATATTCTTAATTCATAGTAAACCCCCATTTCCTGTTACTTTACGGAGTGCATAGGTCGCAGTGTTGACGTAGTGCAATAGCCGTGGCATGAGAGGTGTCAAGATGCGTTAAAAGATACTTCTTGACACCCAAGATAGATCCCTACAAGGGACAGAGTCATAGCTACCGGCCCTGAGAGATAGCATACTCGTAGCTACCGGCCCTGAGAGATAAGCATAGAGCTCATAATTTTCACAAACCCAAACAAAACAACAGCAGGCAGTCTACTAGCTAGTTTCCCGGTCCATCAAACCCACCGCCATTGCCGTGGATCGCCAGACGTGAAGACTTCAAAAGGCAGCTATTGGTTCCTTACAACGAGGTGCTGAAGCAGTTACGTGGCTAAAGTCCATGGGTAAGGTACCTAGACATCGCCGTTCCAGGTCCCCGGTGGTTGCCGCCCATGGCCACCTGGTGAAAATCGTCCAACTGCCATGGTTCTCAAAGCAGCACCTGCACTGCTCCCACCACGATTACAAAGTAGCTACAATTAGCCAGAAACCGGTCATGTCCAGGCTAGAACGCAACAAACAAACTGCCCATGACCCGTCAGCAAGATGCATTTTTGCATACAAGCCCCCTGTGAATACCGGTACTGAAGCCCAACGCCCAGCACGAGGAAACCAGATGAATGCTGATACCGGGGACCTGCCTCGCTTGTTTCGCAACAGTTACAAGAGCAATATTTCGTCTGAAATGTATTAAGTTGCAGCTTCAATTACGTTCCCCTGCTCTCAGGAGCTGCGCACTCCATGTCATTATCCGTTCGGGGATCCCACCTCAAGGGTGCGCATGACCGAGTACATGATCTTCAGCAGTTCAACGCCATAACTGGGAGTCTAAAAAGCGGAAGTCAAGGCCCAAGATCACAATCAATCGATCATCATCATCATGTCAGCAACATCCGAGAACTTTTACAAACTACTCCTCGCGGACGACAATGAGCCGTTGAAGGGAGAAAAACACGGCGATGAGGTCGCCAAGTCGTTAGAAGAGGAATGCCTCAAGATGTCCAAGGGATGTGCCTTGACCGTGGGAGGCATCGTGGGTGCGTTCTTGGAAGGTGCCGTGCTGGGTCTTTTCTGCATCTTAAGCGCGAATGAAGTCTACCTTGTGGATGGACTCGGCAAGTTCAGCGGCAAAGAACTCCGCGCTGCCATTATCTTCATCTGGTGCGTCATTACCGCCCTCATGGCTATGGCAATCTGCAAACTGTTCAAGAGCTTGATTGCCGCCGTGTTTGCTTCCACCTGCTTGTACGATGAAACCACCGATGATCAGACCAAGAAGCGAGCGGAGCTGATCACCAGGAAGATTATTATGATTATCGACATTTGGTACTGCTTCGGCTGTCTCTGCGGAATGACCCTTTGCTGGTCCGTCACGTACAATCTCCTGGGAGTCCAGAAAGATTTCTTTGATTGCCTGTGGGTCGTCATGTTTGCGTTTTTCTACTGGGTTGTCGTGTGGACTAGCGCGAAAGTAGAAATGGAAACTGAAGAAGAAGACACTCCCACCGAAGGGGAAGATACCGCGGATGAAACGGAGGAAAGCGACCGTGCACCTGCTATTGAGACGGCTGTGCCTTTCCTCGACAAGGAATGCCTTTCCGCATCTTTCAGTTGAGAAGCTTCTGGCTCCAGCGGGTAGCAAGTGTTTCGCATCTTTCGCAGTTAGCAGGTTGGTTCCATGGTGTTTGTGTGGCAGTTTCAGTGTTGGTATCTTTTGTGCTCCCTAATTCCACGTGACGTTTAAATTGATCTAAAAGCGTGGTTTCAACAAAAAACTGGAGGTGCCAGATTTCACGCAATTCATCATTTTCATCCCAAATTCATCATTCTAGGATATTATTTTCATTACCAATCAACAAAAACCAACAGATATTCAGATTTTTCACGTCCAGTAGTAAAACAGAACTAAATTTTCATCAAATTCAACACAACGCATCACGGATTCATCATTTTCACCACAATTCATTTTCAACAAACTCATCACCAATTCAACAGTCAAACCTCATTTTCATCTATTTTCAGTAAGTGGCCGAAAATCCAGCATTTTCAAAGCCAAACCTTCCTCGCCATTCATCATCAACAGTCACACCTTCTTTCATCAATTTTCATCAAGTGGAAAAAATTCAATATTTTTAAAGCTTTTACGCAACCAAACATTTCTGGTACGGTCACTAAAGGTGCCATGGTACGACTGTACCGGGACACGTACCATTTGATGGGAGCTCTCAAGGTAATGGGGATCTGCTGCAACCTGCAACGGTGTCATTCTCTCGTGAAGGATCTTTGATTTCCAGGTTAGACAATCCCTGCCACATGCATATTGCACCGCAAATCTCGCTGCCAAGGAAGGATGGCCTCCGCCAACCTCTACTGTGGTGGTTGTGTGAGAGCCAATGGTGTCATTAGAATTTACGAGCGTGCGGTACGCTTTTGGGAGCAACATATCATACAAGGAAGGAAGACAAGACTTGCAGTTGAGTTGCACAGAGCAACCAAGAATGAGGGCTTTTCTTCCCACTCCTAGACCCTGCTGATAAGAGTGATATTCAGGCAAAGCTCGGTTCGTTGCATTTGCAAGAAGAAGCTGCATGGACAAAAGTTCTATGGATTTGATTGTGACCTATTGAAAAAGCGTTCGAAAGCAGTAAACAAGCAACGACAACTCGCATCCAACAAAAAAGCACTGTTCGCTACTAGATCGGGCTGCTCTGTCAGCAAGGTCCCCCAAGGAACCATAACCAGCTGCCAACAATGGCTAGACTGTGGGAACAGGACTTGGTGAAGTTACTTGTACGAGAAAGCGTAAGGCTACCTCCTGACGAGTCCTCTTTGCAAAGCTGATAGCAGAGGGGAGTGTCTCTGCCAAGGTTGTCATCCTCTCAAGTCTCCATAGATGGCTGGCTGAATGGATGGCTAGCAGTCTAACTGCATGCATGCTTATAGCTTCATTTATCTACAATACCAGAGACGCCCTCGAACGCAGCTCGGGAGTGATCTCATCCCCTTCGATGTAAACTGCAAACACAAGACCTGATTTGTACAAGGCTGACTTGTCACTGGAAAACGCTGTCATGGACGGACTGTCCTCAAGCATTTCTCGAATGCACAACTGAGCATCCGTCGAAGGGCATTGAATGCCCAAGGCCACCAAGGCTGTGTTGCTTCCAACCCCACCGACCGTTCTACGACCACCTCCCAGTTTCAAAATATCATCACGCAAGTTGGGAGTATCCCGGGGATCGTAGAGAGATTTCATCATTTTGTACTCACCCGCCTCGATATTGGCAAGGCACTGAACGCCTCGATCATCATCATCGGTTCCTAGAGTTTTGCCAATCACATCAATCAAGGTATCCACGATGTCCTTTTGCTGGGAAAGAATCACGGCAGGTGCCAAGGCACCGCCCAACCAAAAGTCGAGAATGGTTGACAGCTCCGACAAGGAGCTGTCCGAGAGCTTTGTTTGACGACTCTGTAGTTCCTTCCTGACGCGTTCGGTGCGTGGATCAAAGATTTGTTCCTTGACCGGAAACAGATTGTCGAGTGTCCCCACATGAAGGTCCAGTGCGGGCTTATCGCCCACAACCACTTGGCAAGATTTGTCGTTTTGTGTCACGGAAACTTGGTGCTCAGCACAAATTCTGCCATTGGCAATCTGCAAACCACCACCATTCGCGCCCAGAATCACTGCTGACACATAGTATGCCAGCATGCGCAAATGTCGAACCAACGGACGAGTGTCACCTTCGCCCAGGGGAATGTTCAATGCTTTGATTAACACGGTGGACACTGCCTGGTGCTGCTGGATCCGATCTTGAATGGATTGTTGAAAGTACGCCAGGGCGAATTCCCTTCGATCGGATCCCTCAATGGCCGTCATTTCCACCGCTGTCAAATGTTGAAACATGGGAAGGCGTTGCAAAGCTTCTCGAGCGGGTTCCATCAACTCATAGTTGGATGTAAAGAGTGTAATCAACGAGGCATCATTGCCAATGCCCCGTTTCTCGGAATTGCGTGGTGCTTTCTTTTCACTGCTGTACTCTCCCTTTCGCCCACCAAATCGTTGTGCCACCAGTTGACACACTTGTAATTGGTGGGGATCGTGTTGTTGCGTGTTGTCATCGTCATCGTCATGATACTGTGGCATTTCTTCCAAATCAATCACAACGAGCCCAGGTTTGCTCTGCGTCATGGTGCATTTTCGACTTTGAATGATACTCATGACACTGAGATCATTATTGTTGGGCCGTAGATCCAATTCCAAACATAGATCTTGGTAGGGTTTGTTGAGTGCCTGTTTGACAAATCGCACCAGCATTTCGGGATCGGCATGAGCTTCGACAGCCGCCTGAATGGCAGCGGGGACATGTCGTACAAAACTGCTCTTTCCGGCTCCGGCTTTGCCCCACAAGTACAAACTGATGGGTTGGCAGGGTTCAAAGTGGGCGTTTCTTTACCATACAAGAAAGGAAGGCGTGAAAGATATCTGAGCATAAAAGCAAGAATCTCTCCATACACACAAACTTCTGCTTTGAGTACTACAACACCATCACTTACAACTTGAGTGGAATATTGGGATCTTGTCTCAACCCCGAGAGAAAGTACCGGTGTAGAGCTGGTGACAATTGTTTCTTCATGGTCGCAGAGGCATAATATCCTCCATGGCGCAACAAGTGCGACCAAAAAGTTGCCATCATGTCCTGTACAATAGCTTGAGTACCGGGTTCTTTTGTTGTGGTAGTGGAAGCACTATTATTATTCTTGCCATTGGGTTGCTGCTGCTGCTGGAGAGCTCGAGATAGATCTGGCAGAAACATGAAATTGGACGGTTTGACCAAATCAATTTGAGGATCGTAAAGATAAAAGGTGATGCGTTCGTACTTTGGGACATGGCTGGTCTTGAAAAAGACATTTTGAATGACACAGCCATGGTAATCTCTCAGAAATTGCTGTACCAAGGCATTCGCCAATGTACAATGATGCCATTGAACTCGTTCCAGTTCGTGTTCCAATTGTTCTTGTCGCAAGCGTGGATCGGCCTTTAACAGCAATTGGATCAGTTTGGGAATGGCTTGGTGATGGTCGGCATTGGCGGTCTGGTTAGCTGTAGTAGTACATGTAGTAGCTTTCAAAGAAGACGCCATCCATTCTTCCACGTGAGGATCCTTCATGGCCTTGCGACAAGCCACCTGCAAACGAGCCACAAACCGGTGAAGACAGTACGACGGCTGGAAATGCTGTTGGTAGTAGTCTTCTCGTTGTGTTTGGTCGGGATGCAATCCCAACATGGTCAGTAGATAGTCTTTTTGGGCGTACAGCTTATTGTCGTCTTGTTGTTGTTGTTGTAGTTGTTGTTGTTGTTGAACTTGGACACACGAGTCTTTGTACAAACTGACGGCTAACCGTGGCGATTGCACAATGGATGTTCTGAAACCAGCGGCCTGGAAGAGTTGTTGGAGTTTGTGCAAGTCGCGACGGACCTTGGGGCCCAGCAATGCTTGTAATGCTTGGGGTGGTTCCGACGCGGCTCCTCCCACTCCCAGCCAATCTTCCAACAGGACTGAAAAATCGTTCTTCTCCACCTTGCGTCTCTTGGGTGAGGATGAGTCCGTCATGGTGAACTACTGGTAGCTAGATGGACGGTATGGATAGACAATGCAGCAAGACAAAAATGAGGAGATGACGACGACGCCGTTTGGGTCTCGTGAACGGTGGAGAACGGGGAGGGCGATGGGGCTTCGAGAAGCCTCATCTTCTCTAGAAAGCGAAGAGCACTAGGGCTCGGGTTTCTTGTACAAGTGGGGCTCAGGATAACTTTGGTACTTAGAGATCCCACACCTAAGTGAAAAATGTCAACCGACAACCTTGCCGGCGCGACTGCATCCAAGAAGTCAAGGTCGCTTTCTCACTTCGACGCATGTGTCGACATCTATCTTTCTTGTCTTCCTCATTGATGTTTCGTTCGTCTTGATTGCCATTGCTATTGCCATTTTATCGTCGGTCCTCACCAAAATTGACAATGGTTGCATTCGTCAGTGCGAAGCGTCCTCTCTCAAGTTGAGCAACAGGTTTTCTCGAGGAGCTTTCCAATTGAGTTGGGCCTTGGGGTTTTCCCTCGTGTGCGTGGGTATCTTTCTGAACTGTACTTCGGAACTCCAACCACGATGGCATCATTATCATCTTCCCCCAAGGCAGAACAACTGATGCAACTCCTGCAAGGAGAAATATCGGACAGCACAGGAACTGATGGTGATAATGCTGACTCTGCCCTGTCACCGTATGGCAATCTGTTTCGCCGTCACAATACGGAACCTTATGATACCCCCAACACTGCTTCTTTTGACACTCCCAATACGGCACGCTCTGCCCCCATCATGAGGACTCGATCCTTGGACGACGATGACGGTGACGAACGGTGCGTCCATCGCAAATGGGAAGAGTTGGCAGAAACCTGGAAGACCACTGTTGTGCAACAGCCAGATGGAAAAGTGAAGGATGGAGATATCCACAATCAGCAGCAATCACTGTCTTCGTCTGGTTCCTCCCAACATTCCATATCATCCTTGCCTTCGGTAGGATCCGCGGCAGCTGCAGCGGCGGCTGCCATGCATGCCAATTACATTGTGCACAATTCACCCATAACCATGACTCCCACTAGCACCACCACAACAACTCCCATGAGTAGTACCGCCACTACCAAAAGCAATCTGACGACCCCCAAACGACCCACCAAAAAGAGAAACTACTCGGAGGATGACAAGAATTTGAGCCTCAGCAAACTAAAACACCAATTCTCGTCAGGAGGGTGTCGTGGGTTTCGTACGTCACGGCTCACGGCCTATACCAACATGAGCGTCTTTGATCGTCTCTACGGACAAGCACCCAAGAGCACCAGCAAAAAGAAGAGCAAAAAGAACAAGAAGAAAAAGAAACAACCGTGGAAAGTCTCCAGTCGATATCCTCGTCCATTTAGTCCCAAAACTCCCTATCTGGTCGGCGAGGATGGTGACGACGAACTCAGTGCTACCCTAACTAGTCCCGGTAGCAGTAGTGCAAGTGCCTGGCAAAAAAGCCTCACACCCGAACAAGAAAGACAACCTGCTGCTCGAGCGGTTCCCAATATTCCCAAATTGAAATTTCCACCCACCCCGACAACCACCAAACAACCCAGGAAGTCCTCCCGTTCGTTATCGCCGGTTCGAAACAGAAGTAACAACACCCGAGGAGCGAGGTCTCTTGTACTGAAGCTGCAACCCCAAAAACGAAGCACGGCACGTTCTCAATCGCCCCCACGAAAGCAGCAGCCACCGTGGAAATCATCGAGTCGGGCACCGCGATCCTTTTCCGAGCTACAAGCTGCCAAGGACAAGACCAAACACAGTCATTATAATGTTCGGAGCAGCAAAGAGGCAAGCAGCAACGATGGATTTCTCAAGGCAACTGCGTCATCGTGGAGCAAGGCTGCCCAAACGAAAGTGGGCAACGAGGAGTCCACTCTTCAACAACAACAGCAAGTGCAAGATGATCATCATGGTACTAGTCCTCATCAACAATCAGCAGCCATTGCCTACCGACCTCAGCCTCCTCAAGGCAGCAGTAATAGTAGTCCATGGTCTACACCCTCGATCCAACGTTTGTCACATCCTACTTTGGAGGGTGCTGCGTCCAGTGGGGATACTGCCCCTCCCTCCTTGTGTATGCCAGTGTTGCCGAAAGCCTCGGAAGCAGACCAAGACAGGAACAATTCAAGTCCTTTCTCGACACCACGTGGAAAAGATCATCAACAAACAACACCCGATCAAACGTCAAAAGCCAATCTTGGCCAGGCAATGACACCCGAACAACCCGCCAAGAGGATGAAGTATTCGCCAATGACCTTGGCGGGGGCGTCGCGTGTCGTACAGTCTGCCTATCGAGACGCTTCGCGCTCGATTGGTCAAAAGCACGAGCTCATGTCGGCCTTTCGACAAGAACGAAAAAAGGTGGACGAATCTCAACGATGCAAATTATTTCAAACACCGCCACCACTGCGCCCGGCTACTCCTTCGACTGCCAGGTCAACACCTTCGCCGTTTTCTCCGAGTCCAGGATCGTTGCGTGCCAAATGGAAGGCTCAACAACCCATGTATCAGCGTCATGCCGCTGCCAATCGCATTCAACACTGGCAACGGGTATGCCTTTCGGCAACGAAACGGCTCGACCGAATGCGGCAAGCGCATGCAGCGCGGTCCATTCAACTGCAATGGCGACATCATCGAAAGCAACATCTCAAGCAAGTGGCGGACCGCAAGGCCGCCGAGATGCTGCAGCTGTGTTGGTGGAGAAAGCTGTCTCCGGGGGAAACTGCAAGGGTGGACAAGGCCACGCAACAACACGCCTACTCGCACATTCCACAGCAAGTGCAACAATTCGTTCAGTCGTCGAGAGAACGCAAGGAGAAAGAATTGAGATCTATTATTTTGTTGCAGCAGTGGTGGCGCCGTGTGCCCAAGGGCTCCCCAGAGATGGTGGCATGTGATGATGATGAGGAGCGTGAACCATGTGAGACAACGCCATGCCCGGCAGCTTATCAGTTTGAGAATGACGATTTGCCTGCCAAAGTGGAAACGGAAGCAACGCCATGCCCGGCAGCTAATCAGTTTGAGAATGACGATTTGCCTGCCAAAGTGGAAACGGAAGCAACGCCATGCCCGGCAGCTGATCAGTTTGAGAACGACGCTTTGCCTGCCAAAGTGGAAAAGGGAGCAAACTTTGACGGAATCGGAGTACTGGATCAGCTCGAGATGGATAATCTGCATGGAAAGGTCCAAACAGATTCACATTTGGAGAGACTTGATGAGGTGGAAGACGATGAAAGTCCAACATCACTAGAGGTTGACAAAGACAAGACACCTCTTGAATTGGAGCACACACAGCGCCCCCAGCAGACGTCCGAACCACCTCAAAAAACGCAAAAGGCGTCCATTTCTGCCCAAAGGCTCGACCAACAGCATCAAGCTAGCCCACAGGATCAAAATGTGGAGCAAGCTGTTCTTGTGAGTGAAGTCGACCAAACCCACTGTACGGAAGAGAACGACAACTTCGAAAATGTTCCGAAACCGCCACGGGAAGGAATGGGAGGAGGCATTGCACAGAAACTGGCAAATCCAGCGTACGATACTGCTACGGCGCAGGAGCCTCGTGGCGACTTGAATCCGAAGCACACCGCTTTCTCGCGAAACGAGGCTCTATCCAAGGGGCGCATGCAGTTTGCTTCTACGAAAGAAGAAAATGCCATCCGCACTCGTAAGAGGGAGTTCGCGAGAGAGCAAGAGTCACATATTATGCACCTCCTTCACGTTCTAGCAGAGCTGCAAACCAAACGAGACAAAGCTGTCGAATATATTTTGGTAGAACTCGGGGAGATGGGCAAGGAGAAGGACGACGCGATTAGCCAAGCATCACCGAAGGCTGCGAGCGCCAAAAAACCGCTTGAACCAAGCAAATTGGCGAACAAACGGTCTATCGACTTGGAGGGGATCTATCGGCAGGCATTCGCTGTGCGCCGCGTTGAACTGTTCAAAATGCGAAGAGACAGAATACGAGCAGCTCGGCGACTGTATTCATGGTGGACTACGTCTCTCATTGTCTCTATGAGCATTGGGCGACGCAGGCGGGCTGCCACGAAGCTACAGGCGGCCATCCGGGGGCACCGATTTTGTATTGTGTATAGAAATGTGCGCTTATGCGTGATTCAAATCCAAAGCTGGTGGCGCGGACGAGGGGCATTCAAAGTGAGGGCTTTCGCGGAGGTTCGCAGGCACCGGTTGTCCGCATCCAACTCACCGACAGCAGCGAATGCGGCACTGGTTCCAGGGACGTATCCGCTCCCATCGTTCGCTACAGTCAAGCGGTTCGCTTGGTCGACCTTTGTTGTATTCGCTTATACTTCGGTTGTCTTCACTTTCTTCCTTTTTGTCGGGCTTCTCTGGGTTGACGGGCTTGTGAGTGTGAAGAACAATCGTCATTAAACAGTAGTACCGGTACTATCGTTTTAGTACACGTGTAAATTGAATTGTACTTAAAACCTTGTGGTAAATGGAAGCTATCCTTGCAGTCTTACACGTACCGGTGCCGGCAGGTTGAATTGTTGGGAAACTAGCTATGTACCAGCTGTTGCTCTAGTATCTCGGAAGGTTGGAACACAAGAAATTCAAGCCCCGCAACGTCCCTCGTCCAATCTCGGACCCCTCGGTTGTAACTTGCCAGAATCTGACCACAGAAGAAGAACAATAGCATCTGTAACAGCACCTACCCGGGCCAACAAACTGTACCTTGCACTGCATTTTTGCTGGGCTACACTAAAGCCTTCACCTTTTGCTTGCTGAAACCGTACGTACGGGTAGTCTAGCTAATATGCTAGGGAAAGATGGGAATACATTAAATAAGTACGTAGCTATAACTTCATCGTACCGTAGACATGATAAACAAAGCTTGCGGTCAAGTCTTAATAAAATTCTGCCTGGCAAACCCCAACTTCACAAGAACCACCCGTAGCGGGACCACCCTCGCTGTGGTTTCTGGATACCTGCAACATCCTGATCAAATCATCTTCCGTCAAAAACACAACCGCCATAGCCACCAAGCTGACGACCATTACCAATACGAGCAACAGGAACCCCCACCAAAAGGTAGAAAACAAGGGCTGACGAGCGCTCTCGTTGGATTCCTGCTTGAGAACTTCGTTTTCCGGCTCCTTGGCCTGGGCAAGGCTCAAGCCATCACTGGTAGATTCCACAATGGAAACCATGCAATCTTCTGCAGGTGCAGCTACAATCTCATTCTGTACTCTCTCATCGTTCTGAAGATTGTCGTCATTATGATTGTCAGTGTCCCTACTGCCTTTGCTGCTTTCGTTATTATTAGTAGTGTGAACCCACCAGTATTGAATCTCACGTGCCGCTTGAATTCGTCGACGTCGATTTGCCCGCAGTTGCACCCAGCGTACTTGATAGGCGCGATTGTACAAGCCTTTTAGATCAATCTTTTGGGAATCTGGTTTTGTCAATGTCGTCTTTTTGCTGCTCCCGGATGTCGTCAAGATGCTATTGCGAACGGATCTTGGGGTGACGGCGATGCGAGTTACAGATGTAGTAGGTGCTCTGGTTGCTGCTGGCGTTGTGGGTGTATTCTGCTGGATTTCTCTTTGCAGTCAACAGTTTCCACTTTCATCCTCCTGTAAACCAGGGGTGTTTGGTGTCCTGGTCTCTGTTGGAGTGAAGACTGATCCCGAGGTTGTGGGCGTATCACAATGCGCTGTATCGGTTGGGTTCAACTTGTTTCCAAGTGAACAAGGAGTTTGAGGCGTCCTGGTCGCTGATGGAGTGAGGACTGATCCCGAGGTTGTGGGCGAATCAGAATGGGCCGTTGTTGTTGGATTTATCTTGGTACCACTACCGCCCTCCTGTAAACCTGGTGTTTGAGGTGTCCTGGTCGCTGTTGGAGTCAGCACTAATCCCATCGCGTTGGGTGTGGCCTGTTGAAAACTGTTTTTTGGATTCAACTTGATTCCACTGCCATTCTGCAAACTTGGTGTTTGAGGTGTTCTGGTTGCTGTTGGAGTCTGCACAGTTCCGACCTTGCTGCCATTACCATCCTCAGAATCTGGTGTTTGGGGCGTTCTGGTAGCTGTTGGAGTTTGCAATGATGCACTTGTGGGTGTTTGGCATTGAAATTGGCTTCCCTTTGCATGCTGTTGACTTGCAACCGATAGAGGCGTCCTATTTGTCGTGGGAGTTTGCAGCCCCATTGTAGCTGTCGGTGTTGTCGCCATCGAACCGCTACGCGATGGTTGTTGACTTGCAACAGATGGAGGCGTCTAGTTGTGGTCCGATCCAAACTTGTTGGGGTTTTGCATTGCTGGTGACTCCACCAAGCCAACACTACCATCCTCACTCTCAGTATATTTGCCTGCTGTTGTCTGGTCAGCTTTGGGCTTGTTCCGAAATTGTACGTTGGGTGATGGTGTCTGAAACCGACATTTGTTCCGAATCATATCATCATCATCCACAAGAGGATGTACAATGGACGCAACGTGGAACGCTTCTGACGCTAGTAATTCCAAGGGAGACTGTGATTTCGCCGTGAGGGCATCGCCATCGACGGTTGAAGCCGCCTCATCCCGCATGGCCGATCCTCCAGTGGTAGAGCGTTGTAGCACTGAACTACTGCTGAGCGTGGTGGCGCTTTCGTCCTCTTCTTCTTGTGTTGGACAGATGATGGCGTTTGCTGTTGTTGTATCAAAGACGGCATTTTTAACATTTCATCCGTCGTGTTGTTGTGGATTGCGGCTGTATTCTTGGTCTCTCGTTGTTCGGGAGATGGCTGCTTTTGATGTTGTCTGGCATCTCTCATGAACTGACTCGCCGAGACATTGTTATGTGACGACGCCTGATACGGTGGTAACAGCGCAATTCGCTCCGCTTCGTTGGGTGACAGCTGCCTCCACCAACACAATTGCTGCAACAACCGGGCGCTCTTGTCTTCTTCTATTTCGTCTTTATGAATAGGACACGTCGTCGTGATGGAGCGACAACTCGGGCAACTGGTGCTCTTTCTTGGCACTACGTTGAGGAGATGACACTAATCCACTCTTCTCCCAGCACCGTTGACCGGCAGCCGCTCGAATCTGTGCTGGACTGGGTTTCATGTGGCTGTCTACTACAGGGGTGGAAACACAGTCATCATCGGCAGTCTTTTTCTTCTTCTTTGGGCTCGATTGCGGGGTAGACACATAGTCGGGTTGCGGAAATTCGCTCTCGGCCTCTCGCACCTTTCCCACCAATCTTTTTGCGAGCCTCGCTCCAAACGAGTTGTTGGGACGGCCATTGCCACGACGATGAGCCACCATCTTGCTTGTTATTATTATGACAGTCTCTGCTACCGGTATTTTTTTGGTTGTTCCGATAAACAGAGCCACTGTGTGCCGTGTGATGGTCAAAAGCGCAACGGACCCACGCAATATCATTGGCGTTTCCTGGGTTTGGGATTCAAAATGATTGGGTCGCTGATGATTCTATTTATTTCGCACTGCGACATCATCGCAGGGGGAGGCTGAAAGGGCCCGAAATGGCAATTTACACCAAATTCCGATTATACTTGTGTTTCGATTTATATTTAGTGTTCGGTTTATATTTTGGTTCTGATCTTATATTTTGGTTTCGGCCTTGATATACTAGTTAAATTACCATAAGTAATTTGGTTTCGATTTTATATTTAGGTTCGATTATATAACTTTGTTTTCGGTTTTATATTTAGGTTTCGAATTGATCAATTTGGTTGAGATTCATAAAATCTGATTTCCGGCCCTTTCACTTCTACGGTAGACGGTAGTTCCGCTCGTCACAAAAGAACACGCAGCTGGAGGCTTAGAGCATCATCAACGCTGGCCGCAAACATAGCGGCAAATCAGGGCTTATGTGACAGACGAAGGCACCCTTGGCACGGCATCCTCGCTTTTCGGCTATGCTTGCTTGCACCTTTCGTAATTTTTGCCTTACTTTATCGAAATTTAATCTTGGGTGAACAGCACATAAACCATTCATCTCAAAAATCTGAATTTGCTGCTATGTGAGGAAGGAAGTTTATCGAAAATCTGCAAATTCGTCCAATTTGCGGCCGAGTCAACTTGCCGCAAAATGATGGCTGGCGAACGCATGTTTGAAAGACTTATTGTATATGCACCCGGTACATGAGGTGACTACATTTGCCGCTATATTTGAGGCCAGCGTTGATAATGCTCTTATGCCCTCAACTGTCAAAAAGAGATTTGATTCCCTTATCCTTAAGGTGGTCGCCCATGTCGTGTAAGCCAGCGGTAGGCTGCTAGCAAACGCACCATTTTTGTCGCGAGAGATCTAGTGATATAACAACTTCGATCGATGGCAACAGCTGCTGCTAAAAGGCGTGCTAGAAACAATGAGATATACCCGTACGAGACTTCTATCTGTACAAGATGGCTGTCTATTAGTAGTACAAAGGTGTTGTCAAAGGGCATTCATTCGTGTTGTATCCGCCTGTTGTCGTCTTATGCTGCCACAGAAGGAGCGTCGGAGCTTTCTTTTCCGCTGTTCCGAGCCTTATTTCTCGATGACCGCTGAAAGTATGGCCCTGCAACCAGGCACTACTCTCTTCCTTACACTATTAGCAGTAGCTAAGTATATGGTTGTAGGGCCATACATTCAGCAGGCATCGAGACAATGAGGTCTCTAACAGTGCGAGTGGTGTTTTCCGTCTGATGGCATTTTTGTTTGTTCTTTGTTGTTGAAGTAATCCTGCATAACCAAACGGTGAGTTTTTTGAAATTCAATTTCCTGTTCGAAATCCAGTGAGTGAGACCAATCCGTGTTGTTTGTACTATTTACTATATAAAGCAATTCGGCGAGCCGGAAGGCTGGCGAAAATGTGAGGTGAATTTTTTGAATGATCTGAACCCCAAAACCGTTGCCTTGGTACATGTGCCGTCAAATAAATCTTAGTGGTTACATACCACCATACGATGCTTTCGAGAGTCGATTCCGTCCTCGTACTGTTTCGAGAGCCAGCAATTCCACTATTACAAGAGTACGAAGAACGTAGAAGGTTGCACTAGACCGTCTACTAGAGTATGCATTACAGAGCTAGCTAGCTAGCCCACTATCTAGATAGTATTGGTGGGGATGTCCTCCTCATCACTGTCGAGGTCTTCCTCTTCACTTGTGTCATCCTGCTCCAGCTCTGCAAGGTGCTCTGTACCAGGCACAACGGTGTCGAATGGCAACTCCTCCAAACAGGACAAATCATGGGCTCCATCCTCTGCTACAGCTAGCACATCTTGTGCCTCTGTATCCTCTTCTACAGGCAAAGCATTATCCTCCTCAACATGCAAAGCAGCAGCAGCACTGGTTGGCCCTTGTGGGGATGCTTCTGCCACAATGTCAGCTAGCTTCCTGCCAGTCTCCTTGCAATAGATTGGTGGTGCAATACACGGCTCTTAGCCTTATTCGCGACTCGATCCTAGATAGGGTTTGAGTTCGACTCATGACTGAGTCTCTCTACGTGAATAGTCATTAGACAGGGGTTCTCAATGACCGCTCTCAGTCATACTAGGTGTGATAGATGAACGACATCGCTCTAGATATTTAGCCGCGTGGGAGTACTTCCCACGCTTAACTTAGAGAAACAATGCTAGACGGAATCTTCCCAACG